GGCAAGTCCAGCACGCGCAGCACGACCGCCAATCTCTGAATGATGCGAGCTGGCTCCCCCACGAAATGCTGAAGTGCGGCGACCACCTGCGAGGTGATGTCGTCGGCGTATATGTCCAGCGCGTGGTCAACCTCCGTCATGGCAAACGACTCCTCGAAAACATCGAACGGCATCATCATGACCAGCTGCAGGAGGAACATGGCCACCGAGCAACCTGGGAGCACACCTCTTTGCACCTGCACCGCGTACGAGTACGACGATCCCCATCTGATGCGCCTCGGCGCGTAGTACATCGCCAGGCATAGCTTGAGCAACGGGGTAGGGAAACCCATCTTGGCCGCCGCCTGCAAGACGCGACGCCAGCAAACCCTGTCGAAGCACTTGCCGATGTCGATCAGGGTTGTGACCACGGCCTTCGATGCACTACCTTGGTGAGCTTCGGAGTATATCATCGTCCTAGCGCCCACGTCTAGAGTCGACTTGCCTTCTCCAAGGGCAAACTATGGCCGGGCATATCTGGCAGCCCAAGCCCGAACATGAGAGATCCGCACCTTGGTGTAGACGCGATATAGCGAGGGTAAAAGAGCTATCGGTCGAAATCCTCCTTGAGGTTTCGTGAGCAGCATAATGTGGACCGATAGCATAGTTGACGGCCACCTCGCCCACGATTCTGCTGCCCAGAGAATGTAGAGCATCATCGCGAGGGCCGAGTCCGAGAGGAGAGACCACGCCCGTGGTGAGATGGCGTCCTGACCCAAGCCCGTACGCCATCGGAATGTTCGAGCCGCTCGTCTACCGTGGGAACAGGGAGAGCACCAGGCGGCAGGCGAGCAACTTCAGCCAATATATCGTCGTCGGCGGTGTCCAAGAAAGGCGCCGCCTCTGCCATGGGGTCCTGCTCCTGCTCCTCCACGCCGTCGCCATCCATGCAGTACTGGGACTTGGTAGGCTGGCGCGTGATGGGCGTGCCCTCCCAGATGCCGTTCCACATGTCCATCTGGCTGTCCGCTATGGCCTGCGGGCGGGAGGTGGCCTCGCCATGGCGAGAGACCTGGTTGTGCGTCCACGTGCGCAGCCTCGTCATATTGAAGAGCGGCGCGGGACCAGAAGCCAAGGTGTCCCTGGCCCACTTGTGAAAGCCGTCGAGCCTCTCCTTGCCAGTAGCGCGTTCCTGTGCTTCAGCATGTGCATGACACTGATTGGCCAAGTCCTGCATCCAAGCGTGCGCTGTCTCTGGAGGCCGGCTCGTGGTAGCATGCAATATCGGCCATATCATATCGAGCAAGAAGGTGCCAGCTGGTGCGTGCACATCCTGTCGGTGACCAGGCCGTAGAAGTCGTCCAAGATGAGACCACCTTGAATTAGCCTTCGAGAAGCTCCTTGTTGGCCTCGCGCCGGCTTGTCCTGATCCATGTTTTTCGTAGCCACGCGCAGCGCAAGGTGGGGACGAGGAAGGCCCTGCCGTAGAGCCTGTCGATGCTGATGTCCCAGCTGTCGGTCCCGTTGAGAGCGAGGCCGTTGTGCATGGGACGCGCGCTCGCGCTTCCCGAGCTCCAGAATTTCCACTCCCCAGGCCATCCCCACGCGGCAGGGGGGCGCATGCCCTACCCACGTGGGAGGTCACTTGGGAAGCAGTCTCAACCTTCTCAGCTCGAAAGGGGCCAACGTCCAGCGGCGGCCCACAGAGTGGGCGGCCTTGCAGCGAAGTAGAAGAGGGCGAGGCCGTCGTCAATGATGAAGTCGAGCTCGCTCCCCTGGAGGCCTGCTTGGCCTCACTCGATGTATCTGGCTGGTGAGGTCGCTGATCGCCATCGTCGTAATACTCGTCCAAAACTGGCGTAAGCTCGAGATCGCCCAAGAGCGCGCGCATCTCGGCCAGGATCTCGTGGAGCTCGCGCCAGTGGTGACTCATGAGCTGCCTGCCATATTCCACGTCGTGTATGGCCAGCCAGTCCAAGTACTCCAGGATGCGACGCCTGGGATCGCGGGCCTCATCCCACGCCTCGGCGCAGATGTCCAGGGCCAAGTCGTCCGCCGTCATTTCGGCAAGGGCGATGACCACCCACGCCGCGTGCCGAGGCAACCTGAGGCACTGCTTGACGAAGGGCGCGCACCACTCGAACCAAGTGGATTCGCCGCCGTCGGGCTCAGAAAGCTCCGGAATCCAGCGCGTGGCCCCTGCGACCACGGCCTCGCGAAACTCCTCCTCAGGGCCGTCAGGTTCAGGATCATCGCGCCTCGGTGGCCGCCCCATAGCAGTGGGTGCGTGTATGCGCTCCCAGCAGCTGCGCAGCATGTCCAGCATGGCCGCGCTGGCGACCTCGAGGCGAGCCTTCGGCCTGCCGCGTCCGCGCCCGCCTGCTCTGCCGCGGGGCCCCCCCTGGGGCTGCGAGGGCGGCGCAGGGGAGCACCCGCCCGAGTCTCCCAGGCGACGCGCCCTCGGGGGAGCAGGACGCGCTGGCGGCTCGACGCAGTCGCGCTGGACCTGCAAGATGATGCCCAGAATGGCGATGGCCACCGCGCGGAAGTAGCGCGCCTCGCTGCCAACCGCAGGGTGCGCTCCGCGTTTGGGCCCTCCAATAGGTCGCCAGACATACTTGGCACCAGCAGCGCGCCCTTGATGTTCAGGCGGGCTGTCTACCTGGTAGATGTGCGCCAAGTCCTGCTCCACGTTGCGCAGGAGGGACGCGTGCAGATTATTAAATCGAAGCTGCGCCTGCCCAGCATCACCAGGCGGTCCACGAGCTGCGTCCTGCTCGACCTGTTCCAAATAAGGTCGATCGGGAGGTGACCCATGTAGAGGATGGCAACCGACGTCAGCTGGATGACCCCGTGGAAAGGCCTTCGGCATGCTGATGGTTAGCTGTCGGAGCCGTCGAGGTTGGGCAGCCAACTTGAATTGAACTGGTGAGTGTGGACGCGCTGGCCATGAGTCCACTATGGCAGGTGTCTGGCATGCCGCGCGCACGTCAGCCAAAGTAAGCCAGTAGTCGATCATGGAGTATCGTCCCGCTGCTGATCGGCATGTTCCCTCTCCTTTGCATTGCAAGGGCACCCCTGGGATCATGTCGGCGAAGCCGTTGGTGACGAAGTCTGCTGGTGACTGGTTCCAGTCTCCCCCAATGATGAACGGCAGGCCGTAGTAGCGCAGGTACTCCGCGAGCTGGTAGTACCGCATGAGGTTCGTGCTGACGCAGTCGGCGCTGCTGCACGACTCCATGTACACTGAGCCAATGAGGAGGCCGCCTGGTAGGCCGAGATCTGCACGAATCAAGCACGACCACGACCTTAGGACTTCGAAGCCTGGTTGTCCAGGCGGTCCTGGGAGCAATGTGGTCTGCACATTCGCTCTGATGAAGATGCCAACGCCTGCGCTCGGTAAACCCGTAGAGAGCCGTCGGCACGGTGAGATGCATGGAGCCCAGCCGTTGTTGATGGCCCAGTGACGAGCGAGCAAGCTGTCCTCCATCCAGTCGGAGCTCTTGCGCCGCCACGACCTTGGCATCCCCTGCACCTTCACTCAAAAACGCTTGACACGTAGTCCAGCAAGACCCATTGAAGGTGACAAAGCCAAGAGCCTGTCGACGCGCTCCTCAACGACCACGAACTCTAGTGTGTGCCCTCCAGCTCCCACGCCATGGCGTCGGCTCCTTGTGAGGGACGAAAAGGTGCTGACTGCCCTGCCTGCCCAGGCGGCGACACTGGGGCCGCTGCGGCCGCTGCGCCTGCGTCGGCAGCAAGCGCTGGGGCAGGAGCTGGGCTGGGTGCAGCTGGCGGCGGAGGAGATCCCAGGCTGCGCGCCAAGGTGTCCATGAAGTGGGTGGCGATCGCCTGCTTGTCGCCTCCTTGCTGCACCGCCTGCTGAGCCATCGCGAACATCTGCTGCAGCTGGACCATGCCTGCGTCTGGCGGCGCCTGCTGCCCACGGGTGGCCTCCGCAGCCGTTGCCGCGACGGCGGACTGGGCCTGGCAGACCTCCGCCCTGATGGCGCCAACCTCGCTCTCCAAGGCGGCGAGGCGCTTCTTTGCATCGCCGAGCTTGGTCTCCATGTCGGTGACGACCTGCTGCTGCTGCTCCCGCTCGGCGTCCTTGGCTGCGAAGCGATCCTTGGCGCTGCGCAGGAGGTCGTCGGGGGCCGTGGTGGCTCGCGCCTTGGCCTCGGCGGCCGCGAGCTCGCTGCGGGCCAGCTGGACCATGCCGTGCTCGTCGTCGTACAGACGTCGGAGCTGAGCAAGGGCCTTCTTGCACTTGACCACTTCAGAGGGTGGCTGCGGTGCTGCTGGTTTGCTGCTGTCGTCCATGGCCGAGTCGTCACGCCACGGAGCGCCACGGACAGCAGGAGGACCGCGCGTGCGAGATGGCTGCCGACTGGGACGCCGCGGCGGGGCTTGCTGATGCCCTTTGTCTGAGGTAGGGCGGCCGTCTCGATCTCGACCGCATCCCCAGCAAGTCGACCGAGACGGGTAGTTCGTCTTGAAGCCGCAGACCTTCGTGGCCTTGCACGCCCAGACGGACTCGCCGAGAGAGCCCATGACGCCACCAGCTGGATGATCGCCGTGGTGACGGGCAAGAAGACGGCGCGCCTCGGCCTCGGCCAAGACCTGACGGGCGCTGGCCCGCCGCCGCCGCAATCGCCTGTGCCAGGCAGGGGAGGGATCGCGGCGCACGGCGATCCTGCTTGCGCCTCCGCCCCTGAGCTGGGCGGGAGGCTGGGGGCAAGGGGAAATCGGGCGCCCCAACGGCCCGAGCCCAATTGCCGCCTGGAGGAGGAGGAGGAGGAGGAGGAGGAGGAGGAGGAGGAGGAGGAGGAGGAGGAGGAGGAGGAGGAGGAGGAGGAGGAGGAGGAGGAGGAGGAGGAGGAGGAGGAGGAGGAGGAGGAGGAGGAGGAGGAGACGAGCGAGCACGAGACGAAGGAGAGCGAATCGCAGGAGGACCCGCCGGAGGCGGACGAACGGAACGTCCGCCCGTGGCGAGCCTGGGCGGCCTGGGGCGGGGGCGCCTGGTCGCTCCCGTCGAAGCCGGTCTCCCGGGCGAAGGCGCACATCTCGGCCTGGCGGCAGCGTTACGTCGGGCGTGTCCCCCTACATGCAGGGGGGATTCTCGACGAAACACTTTTTTGTTTTTAAAATAAAAAAAAATGCTCGAAAAAGATTCCCACGTGGCCAAAAAATGCTCCAAAAATAGCCCCCGGACTATGTTTGTTACTCTTGTTCGGGATTCCTCCTGCAGAGGGGCGTGCCCGACTTGAGCCTGGCGGCAGCGCGGGGCAGAGCGGCGGGAAGGCGGGCGCGGCACGGCGGGGGCCGCACGCGCGGACTCCCGCGGGCGCCGGCGGCGCGCGGCACCCTGCGCGGCGAAGCCGCGAGGCCCAGAGGTGGCCGGGCGGCCGGGCGGCCTGCCAGCAGACCCAGACCCCCTCGGGTCATGAAAAAATCACGGCGGGAGGTTTTTCGCTATTTTCGGCCTCTGGGGGCTCTCACCGGGCCTCGGGACCGTCAAAAAGCGACTCAGGATGAAAAACCGGTCCCAGGGAATGGGTCCAGAGTCCTGGGGGTCGCGTCATGAAAAAGTCATGACGTCGGGGGTCTAGGGAGGGCGAGCCCCGGGGAGGCCCGGAGGAGGCGGCCAGGAGGAGGCTGCGAGGGAGGGATTTATCCATACCCACCGCCTGGGAACCGACGCCCTGGTGCCCCAGCGGGCGGCGGATGTGGTATATATATATATATATATATATATATATATATATATATATATCCGCCCGCGGGGGCCCGAATCTGTCCACATCCACCGCCTGCCGAGGCTCAGGAAACTGACCCTCTGGGCGGTGGTCATGTATAAATTCCCGCCTCGGAGAGGCGGCCTGGCAGAGGCGGAGGAGGCGAGAGGGGCGAGGAGGAGCCGGAGGGGAAGCTTCCGAGGGCGAGCTCCGAGGGCACTCGGCAGCGGGGCGAGCTGGCCGGAGGTCGAGAGGGAGGCCCCGGCCCCTGCCGGGCCAAGCGATGATCGCGCCTGGACGCGCCCTCGAAGCCAGGACAGGGACAACATCGGACCGGGGCAAATCGGGGATCTGCAAGCCGGCGGTTCTGGAGGATGTATTGGGCGCCGCGGCCTCCTCTGGGCGCTCCCTGACGCTCTGGGAGCGTTCTGGAACGCTCTGGAACAATAACTAAGTCGGGCCTGTCCCTCTTCAGGAGGAATATTCCAAAATAGTTTTCACTATTTTTGACCACCTGGGGGTATGTTTTTAGTATCTTTATTTTTTTCGCCCAAGATCCCCCATGTAGGAGGACAGGCCCGACCCAAAACAATTCGTCCCTGTCCTGACCCCGCCCGGCCCTTGCCCGAGGCCGCGGCGTCGCGACCGGGCGGTGTCGCCCTTTTTTCCGGGCCCCAGGGCTCTCACAGATCGGCCCGGCCAGGGAGAAGCGCTGGAGAAAGGTGGGGTATACAGTCGGGGCGTTGGCCTAAGGAGCCCTAAATAAGGAACGAGGCCCCTAGGTTCCTTAAGTTGAACCTCGATTTCGCATCGAACACCTAAGGAAAATCCAAGGCAAACTGCGAAACAATTAAGGAACACGGAGCCCCTCCCCAACGAAAAGGGTTCCTTTCCTTCTTCAGAGCCCCGACTGTAACATACTTTTTTTGGGGGGGGGTCGGGCGATAACCCCGGTTATCGGACTTGCCCCCCCTCCCCCCCCCAGGATAACCTAACCTTGCCAGTTGTGCAGGTCCGCGGGAGGGGGCTATGACCGTGCTTTATGACGATGTTCAGCGACTGCCAGGCGGGCCTCTGCACATTAGATTTGGCTACATCCGAACCCTGCCCCCACCAACCAGCGGTTCTCCCGAATCGGTGGGACGCGGGGGCAGGGCTCGGATTTCGCCACGCGTTTGACGAATCCGAACCCTACCCACGCCGCCCATCGAGCTGCCTAAATCTTTGATCGGCAAGGGTAGGGTTCGGATTTTGCCGCTGACATGACCAAGTCTCAAGTAGCAACAAGAAAGGGCGGCCGCAGGGCGCATGAGAGCAACGTGCTCCAATCGGTGCCAAGCATTCGAGGGAAGCCCCTCCCGACGATCGGATCGGGGACGCCTCGATCGCTGCACAGGGTCGAGCAAGCTGCGCTCGCAATCGGGAACGCCTCCATCGCTGTACAGGGTCGCGAAATCTGCGCTCGCAAATGACGGCGAAATGCGAGTGGGAACGGGTCCTGTGGGGAACGAGCCCTGGACCCTGGAGCCCCTCTCCAGAACCAGGCGCTCACCCCGAACCGATGGTTCACAGCCCCAGGGCCCGTGGAGGGCCCCGAGAGCCAGGAAAAACAGCGAAAGACCTCAGAACCCGGCCCCGTCATGGCGGAGGCCAGGAGGCGATATCGGGGCTGCCCCTTCTCCGCCGGGCGGCGCGGCCTCCCCCCCCCCCCCCCCCCCCCCCCCACACACACACACACGGGCCTCCCCCCCACACACACACACACACACACACACACACACACACACACACACACACACACACACACACACACACACACACGCGCGCACACACGCGCGCACACACTCACACACACAATGAGACCCGCACGGCCTGCCCATGTGGCGCTTCTGCGCGCGCGCCGCGCGCCTGCGCCAGGAAGCCGTCGCCGTCGAGATCGCACAGGCGGAACACCTCGCGGACCATCGCCTAGCCGCGGGTCCTCCCCCCCTTCGCAACCAGCTCCTCCCTCTATCCATTCCTCAATCCCTCCATCTCCTCGTCCTCCTGCTGCTCCTCCTCCTCCTCTTCCGCCTCCTCCTCCTCCTCCTCCTACTTCCATCCTCGTTCCTCGTCGTTCCTCCTCCTCCTCCTCCTCCACCTCCTCCTCCTCCTCCTGCTCCTTTTGCTGCTCCTCCTCGTCCTCCTCCTCCTACTCATCATCATCATCGTCATCATCATCATCATCATCATCATCATCATCATCATCATCATCATCATCATCAGCATCATCATCATCATCATCATCATCACCATCATCATCATCATCATCATCATCATCATCATCATCATCCTCACCACCACCATCATCACCTCTACCACCACCTAGACCAGCACCATCATCATCAGGATTACCATCATTATCATCATCATCATTATCATCATCATCACCATCATCATCATCATCATCCTCATCATCATCATCATCAGCATCAGCATTGTCGTCATTAGCATCATCAGCATCAGCATCACCGTCATCATCACCAGCAGCAGCATCATCAGTATCGTTATCATCAGCATCAGCAGCACCATCGTCGTCATCAGCGTCATAATCATAGTCATCAGCATCACCATCATCATCATCAGAATCGTCGTCATCATGTTCATCAGTATCATCATCAACGGCATCAGCAGCATCATCATCAGCAGCATGATCCTCAACATCGTCACAATCATCACCTTCATCCTCATCCTCATGCGTATCCTCATCCTCACGATCCTCCTCATCATCATAATCTTGATAATCAGCATCGTCAGCATCATCATCATCAGCAGCATCATCATGCCCATCACCATCACCGTCATAATCGAAAGCATCATCATCGCCATCGCCACCAGCATCGCCATCATCCTGTACACCATCACCATCCTCACCATCATCATCATCACCATCATCACCATCGTCAGCAGCATCATCATCCTCATTATAATCCTAATCCTCAGTATCAGCATCATCGTCACCATCATCAGCAGCCGCACCACTATCATAATGAGCATTTACATCCTCGGCATCATCATCACCACCAGCATCATTATCATAATCAACCGAAGCAGCATCATATTCATCAGCATCATCAGCATCATCGACAACATCATGCGCATCATCACCATCGCAATCATCATCAGCATCATCATCAGCATCATCAGCATCATCATCATCAGAAGCAGCATCGTCATCATCAGCATCATGAGCAGCAACATCAGCATCATCATCATCATCATCAGCAGCACAACCATCATCACCATCAGCAGCAGCAGCATTTCATCATCATCCTCATCCTTCTCATCCTCCTCCTCCTTCTCATCCTCCTCCTCCTCCACCGCCTCCTCCTCGCTCTTCCTCACTCCTCCTCGGTCCTCCTCCTCCCTCCCCCTCCCCCTCCTCCTCCATTCCTCCTCCTCCACCTCCTCCACCTCCTCTTCCATCTCTCCCCATCCTCATCACTCTTCCTCATCCTTCTGTTCCTCTTCCACCCAAGAATCGTTAGATAGGGAGCGAAACCCAGTAGGGTATCAGTTGCACTCAGGTGTGCGAAAAGCGCCAGGCCCGAGGAAGATCCAGCCCCTCCGACACCGATCGGAGCCTCGCCCCAGGGTTTTGACTGCACCCACCCCCCTCTGGGGAACAAAAAACCCGCCCCCTGCGGAGACGGTCAACCGCACCGCGGCCCGACCATAAGGACGCGCGGTGAGGATGCAAGGCCCTTGGAAACCCACGTGGAGGCCAAAGCTGGGAGCCCATGGCTCACGGCTAAGGCTAGCGGCTAAGGGCTGGGATGGGCCGAGAGACAAGATGCAAGGGCACCCTTGTAAAATGACTCATCCTTTGTGCGCATTGTTTAACGATTCGCATTCATGCCCGTTACTTGGGACGTCACCCCCCCTCCCATCCCCGGTCACGTTACGATTCGCGCTGGCACCATCAGCGAATGACCAGGGGTAGCTAATTCCCAGACACCGCTGGCGCGATTCGTGACGATACTGGCCCCCTCCCTCGCCCCCCCCGCCTGGTAACGGCCGCTGTTTCCAGAGGATGAACAGAAAGCCATGCTCCTATGTAATGCGTTTTGACCGTGCGCTGCATCTTCTCCTTTCGTTCCCTGCGTTCCCCGCATCGAAGAGAGGCCAGTTGAGACACAGGCGGCTCTCGCGCGCCCAGCCCAAGCCCTCTCAAAATCGGTCCCCGGATCCCTCCAGGGGTCCACCCCGACTCGTTGTCTCGAGGCGGCGACGGCCGCGGCGACGAGAAGCCTCCTCGAGGCCAACGTATCCCAGCAGAGCACCCTCGTGGCAGCCCAAGGGGCAGGGGGCGGGTCGAGGAGCGGGAGGTCCAGCCACGGCCATGTGCACCACGGTGCATCTATCACACATAGGGCGACGAAATCTATACATATCCACTGCTCCCTGGCCAGGCCCATCCTCAACCCCGCAGCGGTGTATACGCCACGCCCTCCTGGCTTGGCCAGGAGGGCGCATACACAGCTCCTGGGTTCAAGATGGGCATGGTCAGGGAGCAGCGGATATGTATAGATTTCGTCGCCCGAACACAAGGGAGCGTGGCCCGCCAGACCAACATTGTGGCCAGCCTCGGGGCGAAAGCACGATTCCTGAATATCACCAGCCCTCTGGGCGCGAGTGGTTTAGGGAGGCTCCTCTTCCACCCCCCCCCTTATTCCCCTTCGGGGAGGGCTCGATCACTGCTCCCCATTAACCCGCCACTGTGCCCTCGAGGCACGACGTGGAGTGTCCTCATGTCATTGGCCCAATCCCTTACTCCTCAGTCCTCGTCAAGGGGCCCTGACTTCGAATTCACAATGCGCATTGGCCTCCCCGCGTGCCCGCGGGCTTCCCCGCGTGCCTCCTGGGCCCCGTCACGTCTTCCGCACGCCTTGTTCGGGCTCAAGAGGGCGTCTAAACAGGCCAGGAGGGCCCCAAGAAGCCCCCCAAGACGGTCCGAGAGGGCCCAGAATCGCCGAACGCTTCAAGACGCTCGAGGTGGCCTCCAGACGGCTCAAGAGCCTTCCAAGACGCCCCAAGAGGCCTTCAAGAGCACTCCCAAGAGGGCGCCAACAAGCAAAATGAGTTGACTTCCATTGGCGTTCTCGCCTGCTTGGCTTCCGGACGCCCCAAGACGACCCAACAGGCTCCAAAGATGATCCAAAGCTGGCCCAAAGACGGCTCAGGAGGCCCCCCCAGAGGGTGCCAAGACCGCCCAAGAGGGCCCCAGGACGGCCCAAGAGGCCTTCGAGACAGCACAACATGGCCTCAATAACGCTCCAAGAGGGTCCCCAGAGGGGAAGGTCCCCAGCGGGGGGCCCACGACCAACATGTCGAGCCCTCGGCCCCCACAGACCCCAAGAGGCCCCTAAGCGTCCCCAAGACGCCCCCAAGAGCCTCAAGAGGCCTCCAAGACGCCCCCAGGAGGGCCCCAAAGAAGCTTTCAAGAAGCTTCAGAAGTGCCGTTTCAAAAGGCCCCCGAGAGGACTCCCACGAAATCCCGACACAAATCAAAAACGCCGATGACCGACTATCCACATTAGATAATACATATATATATATATATATAATGTGAATGTGTATATATGTATATAAATACAAGAATAAACAACTTCCCCATACGACTGACAGCCAACCCGAAACTGTGCCCCCCCCAACCATCCCCGTCGAGAAACAATACACATGCACTTTGCCTGCAAGCCTGGAGCATACGCGAGCACCCCGCGACCACTTCGCATTGGCTTTAGACAAGGACGGCGGAAACCCTCGCCAAACCTACCATCGCTGGCATGAATGATTGCTTGCCGCGCACAAGCCAACCATCCCTGCCAATAACATTACAAAGAACATGTGCCTCCGAATCTGAAGCATGCGCAGGCGCCCCACGACTACTTCGCATTACTTTTTGACAAGGACGGCGGGGGGGCCTCATATTGCTTGCTGCGCGCAGGCTAACAATCCCTGTCAAAAAACCATACAAAATACTTTGCGTGAAAATCTGGAGCATGCGCGGGCGCCCCCCGACCACTTTGCTGTTGATAATGAGAAGGATACTCGGGGGCGACATAAGAATACTAGGGTGCTACATATGTGTTGGGAGGGCGGGCGGGGGTGAGCGAGACGACTTATGCCTTGTGGGCAGGAGGTGTCTTGATCACTGCTCAATATTAGTGATCACCTCCTCTACCAGGCGACTGGCAGCCAACCAATACATATGACGACCCCCCCACCACCCCTATCGAAGATCATGTACAGCACACTTTGGGGCAACGTCTTGGGTCATGTTCGAGGGGGGGGAGCGCGAAAACGTTGTCTTGTTCTCGGGCAAAGACGGCGGGGGGTCCTGCATATTATTTGCTGTGCGCCTGGTAACCGCCCCAATCAAAAAACAAGACAAAGTGCACTTCGCGGCAAAATGTGAATCAACCCCGCGATCATTTTGCATTGGTTTTTGACAGGGACGGCGAGGGTGCTGGCATATTGCTTGCTGTGTGCAGGCCCACAAGACGCCATGATTGCCAAAACGCCGCGATTGCGCATTGGTTTTCGACAAAGATTGTGAGGGCCGACATGTTTCCCGATGTGTACTGTCACTCGCGCGGGCGCACCTGGCACTCTCTGCGCGTGCCCCGAACGCGGCGCACCTAGCGCGGCAATAGCATGCGGCACATAATTACCGCGTTTGGAGCACGTGGCGCATCTGGCGCATCAGGCGTGCCTGGCACGCTTGGGCCTCAAGGGTGCCCAGCGCACCTGGCGCGCATGGCGCGCCTGGCACGCGTGGCGCGCCTCGCCCCAGCGTCGCGCAAATGGGGTCTGTTGTGGTTCCCAGATAGTTGCTCATCCGAAGACCATCGCTGAACATGCTGCGGCTAGGGCTACGTTATGCCTTGGGAGGGCGGGTGGGAGTGAGCAAGACGACTTGCGGGCGGGGAAGGTGTCTTGATCCATGTCCCCTGTCTGAAATATACACCCCTTCGGAGTCGTAGCCACAGTTGTCGTCATCGTCGTCGCCGCCAGTTGTCGACGTCGTCGTCGACGTCATCGTCGCCGCCACCGTCGTCGTCGTCGTCGCCGCCGCCGCCGCCGTCGCCATCGCCGTCGTCGTCGCCGCCAAACTTTTTCGTCGTCGTCGTCGTCGCCGTCGTCGTCGTCGCGACCGTCGCCGTCGTCGTCGTCGTCGCCGCCGCCGCCGCCATCGCCGCCGTCGCCGTTGCCGTCGCAGCCGCCGTCGCCGTCGCCGCCAGTCGTCGTCGCTGCCGTCGTCGTCGTCGCCGTCACTGTCGTCGTCGTCATTGTCGTCATCGTCGCCGCCGCCGCCGTCGCCGCCGCCGCCGCCGCCGTCGCAGTCATCGTCTTCGTCGTGCCGCCGCCGCCGCTGCCGTTTCCGTCGCCGCCGTCGCCGTCGCCGTCGTCGTTGTCGTCGCCGCCGCCGTGCACGCCTCTCGCTCCGTCTGCTGCGGCGCGCCGCCGCGGGGCGGCACCGAGCGCTGCTCCTGGCGGGGCACTCCCAGGGTGGCGTGAGTGGCGAGGGGAGGGGGTGGACGGACGGTACGGACAGACGGACGCTCACATACGCGCCGGAGCGCGGTCCATCTAGGGACGGAGCGGGGGCGCCGTAGCGCCAAGCACGCCAGCTGACTCGATTGTCCATTAGCTCTGCGGCGCGAGCGTGATGCAAGATGTATGGCGGCGGCAGTGGGATGGAAGCAGACTGGGACGGAGGGCGAGAAGCAAGGAAAGACGGCGGGAGGGGCGAGGGGAAGCAGACCGCGGGGTGCGGGGGGGGGGGAGGGGCGGGGACCAGTGCGGGCGCCAAGAGCAGGGAGAAGAGCACCTCAGAACCAACCCCACCGCGCGACCGCGGGGCTGCCCGGGGCACTCCCGCGGAGGCGCCTCGGGGGAGAGGGCCGGGGCAGGGCAGGGCAGGGCTCTGGGGCAGGGGCCTCCTTCCGCCGCCCCCTCGGCGACTCGGGGCGGGGACGGCAGCCACGCTCCGACGCCGAGCTTGGGCCAGGCCGGCCCTGGGCAGAGGCATCGGCGAGCACACCGTCCTGGAAGGGCGAGGAAGGCGCACACACTGGCCGCGGGCCCGAGAAAGGCCTCCTGGCCACGATCGGTGCTGGTATTGTGGTGTCTTTCGACCCCTCCAGGCGGCTGTGGTGGCCAGCCTTCTAGCAGGGGGTTGTGGCGACCCCGATCCCCGGACATTCCACGGTGGACCAAAACACTTGGGGCCACACTCGGGGATATAAGACGGGTGGGGGCGTGCATCCTCGATAGGGGTGCGTCCGAATAGCCACCTGGGGGTGTATCATCGCAGAGTTCTGCCCCTTCTCTTAGCGGACTCCATTGCCACATCCCTCCTCATCTTCCGAATCCTCCTGGTGTATGTATATACACATGTATACACACATACATACATACACACATGCATACATACGTACCCACCCAGATACATACATAAACGTATGCAGGCACACATACATGAATACATGCATGCATGCATACATACATACATGCACGGATGCATGCATGCATGCATGCATGCATGCGTGCATGCATACGTACATACCTACCTACCTACCTACCTACCCCCCTACCTACCTACCTACCTACCTACATACATACATACATACATACATACATACATACATGCCTACATACATACATACGTACATGCATACATACATACATACGTACATACATACATACGTACGTACGTACATACATACATGCATACATACACAGGCAGGCAGACAGACAGACAGACAGACAGACTGACAGACAGACAGGCAAACAGACAGACAGGCAGGCAGACAGACAGACATGCATGCATACATATATAATGCATACATGCATACATGCATACACGCATACACACATGCATACATACATATACATACATACAAACAAACATACATACATACATACATACACACAGACATACAAACAAACATAAATATTCTGCTCCACCATCAACCCTTACGCCTGAATCCATGATCCACCCTGGAGGCGGCCGGGGGATCTGAACTGGATGGGACCCGAGAAAATTCGTTCAAGGGGGGAGGTTAAGGAAAATCCACTCAAAATCGGTGCCAGACGCCTCCCAGGGGTCCGTATGGTGCAGATTTTCGCCCTGGATCCATTTTTGACAGCCCTGGCCGAAAATGGCCCCTGGACGCTGAAAAGAGCCAAACACCTTCCCGAGACCACAACCTCGAACCTCAAACCTCGCCCCCCCCCCCTGCGCCAAGGCTCCTGGCCTCGTGCCGTGCGAGGACAGCAAAAGACCACAACCTCATCGAGGACACGCCCTGGGGGATGTCTTGCGCAGGCCACAAAATTGCCCGAGCACCAAAAGTCCAGTTCCGTCCTGGCTGTGGAGGAGGAGGAGGAGGAGGAGGAGGAGGAGACCAGCGTACCCAGAGGTCAGCTCCCCGCGCCTAGCACGGCGCCTGAGGCAGCATGGGCACGCCTCCTGTCGAAGCTGTTGTAGCTGAGGCCGCCGACGCTGCAGCCCATGATGTGCAGCGGATAGCCGTCGAATTTATATCATTCTTATTCAGAGGATGCTGAGTGCAGGGGGGAGCGAGAACGCAAGATGGGACCGAGACGAGACGCAGAGAGCAGTGAGGACAGTGCCGAGAGCGTGCAGGTGAATCACGAACACGCCTCGAAAAGGAAAGGGACGAGAGAGAGACCCTCATCCAACACGGGGCACTCTCCGCGCCGTGCGCGGGGCCGGGGAGCAACGGTGCGAGGGTCACTAACGGCGCAACGCCGGGCAGTCCCCACTCGCACCGCGCCCCCCGTTGGGAAGACAACCTACGCCTGTACTTCCGCCCACTATGCAGGTGCCTCGGGCTCGGGCGCCTGAGGAAAATGGGCAACAGGAGCCTTTTCCGACGGCACTCACACACATAGGGCAATCTGAGGGTGCCCCCAACTCCTGTACCAGGACTCGTACCAATAGAAGAAGATAGAGTAGCACTGCATGACCATGACGACGAAATTCTCGTCAGAGGCGAAATCGAAGAGGAGGGTCCCGCCATCAGCGACGGACAGGGCGCAAACGAAGGGGCGGCAGCCGTCGAACACGGCCAGGTCGGGGAAAACGAGCACGGGGTAGTAGCGAAGAGAGAGGCGATCCGTGTCCACAACGGAGAAGCTCGTGACGACGGCGTAACTCTCCGAGACGGCGCAACTCTCGAGGATGGCGTGCAGCTCTCGAAGACGGCGCAACTCTCGTTGACGGCGACACTCTCGAAGACGGCGCAACTCTCGAAGACGGCGCAACTCACCATGACGGGGCAACACTCGACGTCGGCGCGATTCACGAAGAAGGCGCAATTCTCGATGTCTGAGCCCTTATTTCCATCAGAGGCGGTCGACCTCCGCACAAGAGACGAGATCTCGCAACTTACTCCAGGGCCCTTATTTAGAACAGAGGCGGTCGACCTCCGAACTCGAGACACAGGCTCGCAACATACTCCAGAGCCCTTATTTAAAACAGAGGCGGTCGACCTCCGAACTCGAGAAGCAAGCTCACAACTTACTCCAGAGCCGTTATTTCCATCAGAGGCGGTCGATCTCCGCGTTCTAACGCCAGTGGCCGCAGGGCTCGAGGAGCACCCTGCGATCGAGACCTGGAGGAGGAAAGAGGCATGGTCAACGTCACCATCACCATCGGCGGCATCACCATCATCGGGATCCACTGCTGAGACGAGTGAGGCAAAGTAGTGCACCGACCCGTTGGCAGCAACGATGGGCAGGGACTCGTCTCCATTGCTGTCCACAAGGAAGTCACGAATACGGTGTGGTGCAGCGGGCCCCAAGTATTGCCTCATCTCTCTGCGAATCTCACGAAGGGCTTGGAAATGTCGATCCACCATCTCTTCCCAGAGCCCGTGCCGCGTCAAGGAGTTACGCGGGTCATTCAGCCACCGAAAGTAATCTACAGTATTGAGGCGCCCCTCGGTAGAGGTGTCCCAGGCAACCATGCAGATATGACGAGCGAGTTCGTCGAGAGCACCACTCCAACCAGACGAATCCACCCATTCCATCGCCTCAAATTTGGCACGTACGTATGGGATGCACCACATCAACCAGTCGGCACGGCCGCTCTCGGGGTCATCCAAGCGCAAGATCCAGCGTGTAGCCCTTGGTGCAATACGTTCGCCAAAGACAACAGGTGTTGCATGCTCCACAGAGGAAGAATGTGGATGGCCCGCCAGACGCAGGATGTGAGTACTCGGTGACGGCGTCGACTTCGACGAGGTGGCATCGTCCAGACACCGCAACTGTTCAGGGAGAGAAGGGTCCTCACGAACAGGAAGCCCACCAGCACGAAGGCGTTCGACACGCTTGATGGTCGCACGATATTCACGTTCAAGCCGAGTAACATCCGCCTCACATGCAGCTGGGACAGACAACGACGCTGCATGGACCGCGGAGAGCGCCACCGTGGCGGCAAGCGGCCATGGGAACATGTATGCCGCAGGTCGCGGCGAGGTGGCAGCAGGAGCGGACGCCCGCCCGTTGACGACCTGCCTTGAGGGCAGGGCCTCGCACTGAGCCAAAGCGCCAGCAGGAATGGGCACAGGAGACACTGGATGGGGAACAGGTTGGCCAGCTTCATCAGCGCTATGTATCACATCGTCGTCACACGGGGTGGAAGGGACCAGGTCAGGGATGGGGGCCGCAGCATCTGAACTCAAACAGGAGGTGGACGATGAGGTGAGCACATCCCACTGAGGCTGCCTTCGGCGGATCGTCTGGACAGCGGGAGGAGGTTCCCACCGTTTCAATTTGGCTGAAGGCCTGGCCAGACGAGAGGTGCGGACGGCGGCCTCAACATAACCACGCAACTGACGGGGAGTCGACACTAGAGCACCTTGCCGAGCATAGTTGAAGACCTGGTAATAGACATAAAGAGCTTCGAAGTGGTCAGGGTGGGGGTGGGTAAGGCCAAGACGCTGAGCCAGGGGGCGAGGCAGGGCACGCTGTAGACCTTTGCAGACTGCCAGGTACAATTTAGGGCAGCGCAGATAATGTTGCAGCCGATCAGGGCCAGGGCATCCGAAACGACAGCGAAGTTTGCCCCTCGGGTGGATAATCCTATGTGATGTCAGCCATCCATGCCCCCAAGTCCGTAAGGCTGCCATCGCCCAGCTTTGCGGAACCAATGCCAAAAGCTCCTGAATAGCGGGCCAGTGGATCAGGTTGAGGAAGGGGAGGTAAGCTGTGAATAACGGGGTTAAGTGGCGAATCAGCATGGCATGTAGAGGTTTGTGCGTACACATGTTCTGACCCAACGAGCGGGCAGCAGCACGTTGCAGCTTGGGCCTTCGTGTCGTAACCTGAGCTTCCTCACGCATGGCAGAGCGAGCGGCGACGAGTAGGGGCTCTTGAGACCTCACGTGGACCAGCTCAAGGTGTTCGACGAACGCAGGGGATTTCCAGAAAGATGGATAAACACGGGAGCGATCCACAGCAGCCAAGGG